TAATTAATGTTGGGGTTATTAGCGATACAGGAAAGCACCAAATGTTCTGTTAGATTATTGTAATTAATGTTGGGGTTATTAGCGATACAGGAAAGCACCAAATGTTCTGTTAGATTATTGTAAGCATATTGTGAGGGGTTATGGGAGAGCCAAGATAGCACAAAATGTTCTGTTAGATTGTTATAAGCACGTTGGTAAGGGTTATTGTAGAACCAGGAGAGCACTAAATACTGTGTTAGATTATTGTAAGCTTGATGGGGTTGTTGGAGGTTTAGGAAGCATTAAGTGCCCTGTTAGATTATTGTGAGTAGGCTTATGTTCAGTGTGTGGATGAAAAATTTAGTAAACACAGTATTGCTTTTTTGTCTATAATAGTATGCAAGCACTTCTTAATATTATACATAAAATTTGGCCCATTGTTCAGAATTTCAAAGTAGTAATTATAATGTAGTTATAGGGTTTTAAGCAGCATATTGCATATAAACTGTTCACATTTACTTATTTCAAGCGACTGTAGGAGTTTGTAAACCATTCAGCGCTAATAAGGTTTTTTTCCCTTCTTTCTAGAATAGTCCTTTGAGTGGTGTTGATGTTATTTACTCCGATGTCTGTGGATGTGAATTCAGACCTCTAAGCGATTGGCAAGGACATGCACCAACCCTAGCGCTTGTCCATAAAGACATGCGTGTTACTTCTGTATCATTGATTCTTGAGTGGTGAGAACATCCTTTTCCATGTGATAACCCTAGCGCTTGTCTATAAAGACACGCGTGTTACTTCTGTGTCATCGATTCTTGAGTGGTGAGAACATCCTTCTCTATGTGCTAACCCTAGCGCTTGTCTATAAAGACATGCGTGTTACTTCTATGTCATCGATTCTTGAGTGGTGAGAACATCCTTCTCCATGTGCTAACCTTAGCGCTTGTCTATAAAGGCACGCGTGTTACTTCTGTGTCATCGATTCTTGAGTGGTGAGAACATCCTTCTCCATGTGCTAACCTTAGCGCTTGTCCATAATAACATGCGTGTTACTTCTATGTCATCGATTCTTGAGTAGTGAGAACATCCTTCTCCATGTGATAACCCTAGCGCTTGTCCATAAAGACATGCGTGTTACTTCTGTGTCATCGATTCTTGAGTGGTGAGAACATCCTTCTCTATGTGCTAACCCTAGCACTTGTCCATAAAGACATGCGGGTTACTTCTGTGTCATCGATTATTGAGTGGTGAGAACATTCTTCTCCATGTGCTAACCCTAGCGCTTGTCCATAAAGACACGCGTGTTACTTCTGTGTCATCGATTATTGATTGATGAGAACATCCTTCTCCATGTGCTAACCCTAGCGCTTGTCCATAAAGACATGCGTGTTACTTCTATGTCATCGGTTCTTGAGTGATGAGAACATCCTTCTCCATGTGCTAACCCTAGCGCTTGTCCATAAAGACATGCGTGTTACTTCTGTGTCATCGATTATTGATTGATGAGAACATCCTTCTCCATGTGCTAACCCTAGCACTTGTCTATAAAGGCACGCGTGTTACTTCTATGTCATCGGTTCTTGTACGGTTAATTGATTCGGGAAAGTGATCACCAATACAATGGTAGGATGGTTTCTGTCATGTAATCTTTGGAACAATTCTGATGTTGTTTTTTTTCTACAGTTTCCATTCCTAGTGGAGTGCTTTCTTCAGACGAGTGTAGGTGCCAACATCAATAACCTCATTCTTTTATAATCATGACCCGTCAGCACAAACAGGCTAACGTGTTGTGTTATTCGTTGTGTGTGTATATATATTAAAGATTAAAGCTACAAAATAATACAAACAATCAGGCAAGTACTGAACCAAAAATTATTTGATTTACTTAAGAGAAACGTATATGTATGTGTGACCCTACGAACGTTTAAATGAGAAAAAAAAACGCATTAAAAGCAGATTTAATCTTGTCTACCTACCAGTCTGAACTACGTTAATTAAGGATAAACGCATAACGTACCAATAAGAATGTTGGTCAGCCCCTCTAGTGGTCGTACTGAAAATACGACTTATCGTGACGATAATCGGAAATGTGAAGTTTCTGAGCTTCAGCTATAACTTTTTTTTCTGTCCCACTTTCTGTAAAAGGACAGTAAAATAGTTTAAAGTGATTAGAGCTTTAACAGTTTTTTTTTAATTTTGTGAATCGAATATCGTGATGTGAAATAACATGTTTGTGGTCTGTACAGAATATTAAAATAAAGAACAATAAACCAGAGCCTTGTCAAGCTTCGGTTTCTGTAAAGAAGAACAAGAAACCAGACCCTTTTCATGGCTTCTACTTCTGTCATCAATAGCGTTATTTGCTTACAACTTGATTAGAAATTGTCAATTAAAAAGAAAGAGTTTGTAAACACTCTATAGAGAAAATAAAATTTAAAAACATTAAATAGTGTGGCCTTCAGAATTTAATATATCCGGATGTATCAGAACATATGTTTGCATGTAAATAGAGAAAACTTTAGATATAAAAA